AATAGCCCCAATCAATGATCATCAAGAATGGGATATTGATGATATGCGATAAGATTGGTATGTGGACTGCATCATACTTTTAGAAAGTATAGTTGATCTCACAACTATGAGTTCATGTAATTCATGATGGTCACATATATATTTTAGAGAATATTGGCATACCCACCGAGAAACCATTTGATAAGTTCTATTCATGTGTCTATGGGATTATCGGCGTATAGAGTAGTGTAATAGTCCTCCGACTTGAGGTCAATACGTACTACATGTGCGGAGTGATGTACTTTGACCATGACCAACGCTTGCACTCCAATCGGGGTAGATACGGCATGTGTTGGGTGCATCACGAAGCACATGGAGTAGTAGTTGAGCCAAGAAAGGATTCATTCCTCATAATAGATTAAGAGAGAACATTCTACTTCTCATATCTAGATGGATCATAAAGTCATTGGCCAATGCAAAGATATATTCGTTTTGGATATCGAATATGATCGTTATGGATCATCTAGAAAGATTGAGAGACAAAGACTGAGTTATTGGGATAGACACAATATCATGTTCTAGACTTAGTTGAATGTTCGTTGAATGAAAGGACCGTATCACTATGAGCTCTATATTACAGGGAGTTTGTATAGTCCTCGCAAACGTCCTTATATATTAAGTTAGTCTGGAGAATCGTCTAGGGATTCGCTAAGACCTTAATTTGATTAGTGTTTAATATATAAGGCCCTATGGGTCACACAACAAGTGATTATACCTTCCGATTGAATTGTTAGAAGGAATTAAATATTATTAATTGGATTAAATAATATTTAATTCGTAATACTGAAAATGAATTAAAAATTAATTAGATTAAACATATTTAATTCATAAAGTTGAAAGAGAGTTCTATTTGATAGAATTAATTAAGTCTGATAAATTAGATTTATTATACTTAATTAAGATGTATTTGTAATTAAATAAAGGTAATGTTTTCTTTTGTAATTTAGAATTATAAATGAAATAAAATATTATATATTAATAAAGAGAAGAGGTGAGTGGCGTGAGCCCTCCCTCCCTCTTATTACTATTGTATATTGTTTTTATTTAATTATTGATAAGTATTGGTTCTGGTAGGACTAGAACTCATTAATGAGAAAGACTTTCATTGTGATTGGGTAACTAGTTTAGAACTACTATAAATACACTCTCCTCCTTCATAATTATATATCAGTTTTTAAGATTCAGTATTACCAGTTTATTTCCCTGCGAAGAGATTTCCTAGTCTTTCTCTTAGGGAAATCTAACCGTTCTTTCGGAAAGGAGAAATCACGTGGATACCAAAGGTCAAGGATTATCACCGCTAGGCTGGAAGATCTGTAAGTTCTAACTCAGATCTATTATTATTATCATATTCGTTATTTTGTCATAATCAGGGAAGATCTGTTTGGGAAATTTTTAAACTTCCGCTGCCGTACTTTCGAGGTACGTTACATCAATTTCCTAACACAAATATCCAAAGAAATCACTCACAAGCTTAATTTTGTACAACAGCGCACCACAACTAATTGCAATTAATGAGAAAAAATTGCTATATCTTGTGTATGGATTTTCATTCAAGATAAGAGTATTCACTTCATTAAACTCATCGCGCATATTAGAAGTTCCATCATATCATTGGCGTTTATTTTTTGGACAAAAATAATCCGTTCTTGGAAAAAATCATCAATTCCACATTTTAAAGAAAGGGAAGTGGTTGTGCCAACACCATGTCTAAGCTAACCCCAAAAAATCGCGTCATCACGATTTTATGGTCGTTCACATATCTCACAACAACTGTCATATGCTTATTGACAAAATTATCCCCTTAAATATCTAATAGTTATATTTTTGTTTGAATAGGCCAGGGACACTACTTTATCATAAGTAATAATACTAATTTTTGGAGTCTAAAGTGGGGCACTTGCCCCCGATCCCCCAACCCTCCACTTTTACAAACAATTTGAATAACAAATAAATGACTAGCTTTACTTTCTTATTGAAAAAAATTCCAAAGTAAATAAAGGACACAAAAGTAAAACTTAGTACTAAGGATGTTATCACTATGAGTCCATTTGGTGACACAAAAATTGGCATAATTTACTTAAGTTTTATAAAGTTTTGGCTCATGCGGCTCAATTGATTAGATCTACTTAATTATGAAAATTATATTTAAATTACTTTTTATTAATTAAAATAAGAAAAAATTATACAAAAAAATAGCTAAAAAGATCTTCTAAAATAACTTCTGTGAAATCATCTAGAAATATAATTGTAATCTTACTTATCTTAATTCTTATACAATTTAGTGCACAAATAAAAAAAATGTATGTAGCGAAAAAGGTAAGAGTACAGTTAATTGTCAAAATAGGACTAAAAGTTTGTCACTTTGCACTAACAGGATCAAAAATTAAACTATGTATTGATAAGACTAATTATGTGTGTGTTGGACAAATATACCCTTGTTGCTATTGAAATGTTGTAATTCATAATAAAATAATAAAAAATAATAGAAATTCGTAATGAAATACTAAAAAAATAATAAAAATATTTAAATATTTAAATAATAATAATTAAAAAAATTAAAAAAAATAAAAAATAAAAAGAAAAACGCAAAAAAACAAAATATCGCCGCAACCCTCTAGTGCCCCACCACCACCACTTCCAGACACCAAGGAAAAAAATGTCAAATCCATTACAAATTCCATATGGCAAATTCAATGAAAATTTTGGCATTCTCAAAGAGTAATATGCCATTTTTTGGCATTATCAGGAAAAAATGGCATTTTTAAACCGCTTGAAGGTGGTGGTGCGAGGTAGTACAAACGATGGGAAATGCATCTAATTTAAAAAATTAAAAAAATTATGAATTTTTTTTTAAAAAAAAATAAACTAAAAAATACTAAAAAAATCACCTCTGCCTCTGCCTCCCTAGCACCACCATCTCCGGTCATCGGGGGAAAAAATTCCACATGCATTTGGAATGCCATATTTATGGCAGGTTCAATGAAAATTTTGGCATTCTCAAAAAGTAATATGCCGTTTTTTTTGGAATTTCCAGAAAAATGGCATTTTTACACCGGTCAGAGGTGGTGGTGCAAGGAGGCAGTACAAGCGGTGCGAAAGACATTCATAATTTTTTATGGAGTTTTACTATTTTTATTAATTTTTAAAAAAACTTTAAAAAAATTATTTTTTTATTTTATAAAAATTTTATTAATGTTTTATTATTTTTCTACGATTTGTTTTTAATTTTTTGGAATTTATTATGAATTAAACATTTAATTATGACTTTTGACTTACTTTTACTCATATTTAAAGGAGGGGTAAGAATGGAATGAAAAAATTGGTATGTTTAAAATAGGATAATATGGTCCTATTTTGGAATAAAAACACAAAATGTCATATTTTGGGGTTTTGCCATTATTTTACTCCTATTTGGAGTAATTTCCGAAAAGGTAACTGATAAGGCTGATAAGCCGAAAAAGATCACGGGCCCATTTGCTGAGTCTGTTTTTCGGCTTATCAGACTTATCACGTACTGAACTTTTTAACTTAACACATAACTTTTGATTTCGTGCGTTGAATTGTGTAATAATAAGAAAAAGTAATGTTGAAATTACTTTTCTGACAGAACTTCATAAATTTCAATAGATTCAGCCGATTCAGCTGATTTCAGTGTTATCAAACGTATCGGCTCCACTAATGGGCCCTATATGAATGTCATCATCTAAAAGTAATAGATGTAATGTCATCATGAAGAAATATATGATCCCAATTATCATCATGACAAAAAGATCTAAAATATTGTATTCCTTACATTTTCATTCGCAATAGTAGAGTAAACGAAACTTTGTTAAAAAGATGCATACTATAATGTTAAAAATATAACGAATATATTTAAAATAATATTTGCATGTCAGTACAGTAAAGATATACATGTACTAGCTTCAACTCTGTGTTACAATAATAGTGTCATTTTCATTCTGTTCGGAAAACATGGAAATATAGACCGAAAATAGTTGCATTTTCTCCAATCTGGAACATGATATTTTCAAACCAAATAATGTTCTTCTCAAACCAGTTATTGCATTTGTAGCGATTTATAAGTAGAGAAAGAATTTTGAGAATAATGGCATTTTTAGATAAAAAAATATATAAAGAACTTTCAAAATATGTAGCGATTTATAAGTAGAGAAAGAATTTGGAGGATAATGGCATTTTTAGATAAAAATATATATAAAGAACTTTCAAAATAGAGCTAAGGGAGGATTCGAAAGAGCGAGGGAAGGGGTGAAAATCTGAAATGTATTACTCCCTCCGTCCCGCAATGAACTTCCCACTTTTCTTTTTTGGCTGTCCCAGAAACAAGTTCTCATTTCCTTAAATGGGAAGTTGATCTACATCAAAACAGTGTCAAACAGTGACAAACAGTGTCACAACATTGCAAAACAGTGCAAAACAGTGTCAAAACAGTAAAATTTACCCCATGATAAGTTTATTTCCTTAATATGTGTGTATGTCAAACTTTGAAGTTGATTGTGGGACGGAGGGAGTATTTAGAGAATTGATATTGTGTGATCTTGTTATTAAATTATTGATAAGTTTTCATCGTTAAATAAATCATGTCCCTTAAATACAATTTCTTTAACCAACATGCATTGAATAAATATGACTACATGCATAGATACATTAACACGTACACATTGAACAAACATAAATATATATGGAGTATATAAACTATTATTACCACCGTCCCAAAAAAAATTCTTACTTACCTTTTCTGGATGTCACAAAAAAAACTTCTCATTTCTTCTTTTGGAAAGGTTTCTGTGGCTAATATTCATTTACCTTTTTCCCAACCAGAACCATATATTTCCACTTTATTCCCATTTTCTTAAACTTCGATTCAAGTCAAACCGGGAAGAATTTTTCGGAACGGAGGGAGTCGATTTTAGTTACTCTTAAACTTATGTGGTGCGTACCTTAGCACCAAGATGGTTCATGAGGAGCACGTTAGACGGCTGCCTCTCCATATCAAAGTCTCCCATAAAAACCGTACAAACCAAGTCAAGTTTGGCACATGCAGCGGCGGTAGCAACGCCGTGGTGGCCGGTGCCTGTGGCGGTCACAACACTTTTGAGGCCCATCCGCTTGGCTAGGATAGCCTGTGCGATGGCATTGTTTATTTTGTGAGATCCACCGTGGTTTAGATCCTCCCTCTTGAGATAAATATCTGGCCCTTTATTATTGTTGTGGCTTTTGTAGTGAGCTGTGAGCCTCTCAGCCCAGTATAATGGAGTTTCACGCCCCACGTAATCCCTCAAAGCAGTTTCAAGCTCTTTCTACAGTAACGTATGTTCCCAATGTTAATTTGTTCCAAGAATTATGTAAATAAGAATAGATGCAATAATAAAACACAATTATTCATTTACATACTTCGTATAAGGTTATTAGTCATAATATCTTATGGAGTAATAAAACTCATTATCTCATTAAAAAGAAGTACTCCCTCCGTCCCCTAATTAAGTTCCCGGATTGACTTCACACGTAATAAGAAAATAAATTTGACTTTACTGTGGAGTGCACTGTTTTGCACTGTTCAAATACTGTTTGACATTGTTTGACATTGTTTTGCACTGTTTGACACTGTTTTGATGTAGATAATTTGCCAAATAAGGAAAGTAAGGAAGTGTGAACTTAATTTAGGGACTGCCCAAAAAGGAAAGTGGTAACTTAATTGGGGGACGGAGAGAGTATTAAAATATTACACTATTCTTTCATTCAAAATGAAACATACCTTCATCTGTTCTGTTTTAATTATGACGGTCCACTTTTCACGCTTGTGATTGCACAAGTTTGACCATTAATATCTTTCATTCCTTATTAGTAAAAAAATTAAAAAATTCAGATTTTGGAAATTTAAAATGAGAGGAATTTAAAAATATTTTTAAAAAATTTAATGTAATATACGTTAATAAATAAAATATAGTCAAAGTAGATAGTGCGAAAAATTCAATTTTGCGATTAAAAGAGAAGGGATGTAGCATTTATTTTTATTACAAAATAAATACTCTTGTATATGGGTACACCATTGTTTTACTCCTGTCCAGTGGCGGAACGGGGGGTTCTATGTGTGTGTGTGTGTGTCAGTTCCGATTCAGAAAGTATTTATATATTAAAGCACAGTCATTTTTTGTATAAATAAGTTGTGATAGTTCAAATGGTAGGGTGGAGGTTGGGAGAACTTTGTCTTCCAAAATAGTTGTATAACTCCATTATTGCTTCTTTAGGCCATATGATAATTATTTATGTTCAATTAAATCACTCTAGGATATAATGTTGTTTAAATCACACTTTTTGAATTTCTATATCTTTTATTTTAGATTCTCATTTCTTCAATTCAAATCATTTTTAATCATTTTTTCTTCTAATAATGACATATACGGACGTTGTCATTTAATTTAATGTCAAGAATAATTCTAAAACTAATTTAAGTTTTTTTATCATCTAAAACTACTTTAAGTTAATATATATTGTGCATTTTTAAGTATTTTTATTTCAAACACACTACATATACATATATATGAAGTATAAGGTTTGGATCAAATAAAAAGAGTTCTTATCATGAAAATTGATCGAAAATAAAGCTTGTGCATTTAACTTGAGATCCGATGACTCAAAATCAGCCAACAATGCACTATATTTTATCAAAAACTCGGTGACAATTTGATAAATAAATCAAAATTTTCTCTCATTGCGAAAAAGTGTAAAATAAATATCTACCAGTGTACCAAAACGAGTAAAAAGTGTGCCCGCTCTCATTTTTCACGGGAATAACTCTTTTTATTAGAACCTCACTCTATATGTATCTAATAATAATTTTTCACTCGTTTTTATTTTATCCTAATAAGAAATTGTTTTTCAAAAAAATACAAGAGCACCCCCTCAAATTATTGTCTGATTCTGTCACTGCTCCTGTGTGCAGCAATTTGAAGAGAAAGAGAGTGAAAATAACAACTTTTCGTTAATAGGATCATAACTATTTTAATATTATCAACTACTCCATACTTTAGAGTTTAGACAACGTATCTATATTTAAGGGCTGAGTCAGGATACTGAGTCGGACTGCGTCAATACAAAGAATATTTTATGAATTTTTTTTAAAAGAAATTTTTACACTAAAAATTTATAGATTATATTTAGAGTTTGTATCTAACAGTTAGTTAAATGAGAATGTTTAAATATTTTCCCTTGGTATGACTTCCTGTATATACCAGGGCCGACCCTAGCAGTGTGCAGGGTGTCCAACCGCGCAGGGCCCAAAAAATTGGAAGGGTCTAATTTTTTGTAGTAGTATACTAGTACTCCCTCCGTCCCAATTTAATTTGCAAAATTTCCTATTTTGGTTGTCCTAAAATGGTTTTCCACTTTCTATTTTAGGAATGTAGATAAGAATATAGTGACAAATTTACCCTTACTTTTACATTTTTTCCATTAACTTAAAGACATCTATTTTTAGGAAGATGGGCAAAAGTGTAAAAAGAAAGCATCACTTATTGTTCTGCCTTAATCCTTGTGTCAGTCAAAGTTTGCAATTCAATTCGGGACGGATGGAGTATTACTTAGAGATGGTTTCGGTTCGGTTTTGATATAAAACCAAATGAATTACAAAAAAAATTGACTAGGACAAGGCTTTGAAGCAGGCCTGGTTCGCCACTTCGCGTATTCCTCATCTACAAAGGAGGATCGTATATATAGGAACGAAGGAGTAGTAAAACCTCCGTTTCCACCGGTGTGGGAATCTTACGCTTTAGAAACAAAAAAGAAAATAAGTGAGGCATGCGGGATTCGAAACCAAGCTAAGTGAAAATAAAAGCATGCACACTGATTTCTAAACATCACCCACTGGACTGAATCAACTAATTGTTGAAATAAGGACGTACAAGCTTTATATTACCTATTTGTTCTACAAAATAAATAATTAAAAATACCTCTTAATAAAAATCGGTTCGGTTCGGTTTGAACCAATTTTATAACTCAAAAAACCTTCATTAAACCGATTTATGTTCGAGTCCCGACTTTCGGGTCCCGTTTGAGTCGGTGCGGTTTCGGTTCAGTTTTTTTAACTTGTGTTGAAACTTTGAAAAGAAGGCCCAATTATTTTTGTTGCACAGGGCCTTCATTTCCTCAGGACCGGCCCTGGTACATACATCGACATAATGTGTAATTAGTTAATTCATTGAAAATACAATTGTTCACGGTATAAAAATTCATACTCTAAAGACTATAATTCACAATCACTACATATATTTTTTTCACTCCTTTTCTTCGATCATACCATCTTGATATGCACTAATTAATTAGTAGAGCATAAATGTATGTTTTTTATGTTCGATTTGTGTGGATTGTTTACCATTTTATTTAGTTTGTAAACATTCGTGTGATTTTAGTTGTAATTGTATTTTAGTCTTTATTTATAAGTTGTAAAGTAGAGTTAGGATTTGGGTGTTAGAAACGAAGACTTTGAAGTGAAGAAAAAGGAAATTTGAATGTCCAGGAGCAAATACCCAACCGGGTATAACCCTTCACCAGGTTGGGTAAGAAGTGAAAACCGAACTTGCAAGGAAATTGCATGGCCCGGTCGGGCCCACTACCTCACCCGGTCGGGTGAGACTTGATCGGAGGCAATTCGACGTGCTGAAACACAAGAACGTGGGAAATTATCTGATTTTGACAGGTACCCGGTCGGGAGAGCACCTTACCTAGTCGGGTACCCAGCCAAAGGTGTTCAAAAACACCTATAAATAGCACACCTTTTCTTCTCTAAAATCCATTCCTTCTTCTATACTCTTAAGCTCAGTTTAGAATAACATTTCTTTATATTTTCTGGCATGTTTAGTCTCCAAATGAGAAGCTAAACTTCTATTTCTTGGTTTTGCTCTTGAAACTTGTTGATTATTAAAGCTGTGAGTTATTTTCTTAACTTCTCTTCTTGAATATTAATTCTTCCCTTAATATCATTTCTATATTAATGTTGGGGTGTGGCTAAGTGACGATTAGTTAACGCTTCAATATTACTTATTACTAGAAACGATCAACGAACCGATGGTTAATTGTTGATGGTTTCACAAGTAGGCAACTTCGGTTTATAATGCACGGTCGTGGTTAAACTTAAGAGGGATTAATTTTGTTCGTTAAACCAAAACCGTTGTGTTGAGGTTATCAATCTCAATTGATTTCATCAAAGAGTTAGAAAAATTAAATGCTACTATTAAATCGGTATAAGGCGTTGTTCTATATTTGATTAATACTAAGGGTTATTAATGAACGGTCGTTGTTAATAACTACCCGCGATGAATTGGAGATACTCCTCGATTGAGTATTCGAGAGGGGATAAGTTATAGATATAACAAGGATCGACTGAATATATCAAAAAGTGGAAAGTAGCAAAGCCAAATTCTTTTTATCTTTGAATTAAATCACATATAAGTTGTTCATCTTAGTGTTCAATTAAATTAAATCATTCAAACCCAAAAACCCCCTTTAATTACTAGTTTCATTTAAAAGAGAATTATTCCTTTCCCTGTGGATACGAACTCTACTTCACTATACTATGTATAAGTGTTAAGTATTGAATTTATTTTGATGCACTATGACAAAGTGCTCGTCAAATTTGGCGTTGTTGCCGGGGAATGGTTAAACAAAGTGTCAAGAAAAATAAAAAAGAAAATAATAATAAATAAACAAAATATAAGGAGATCTTACTTTTCTATTTTTGAGCTTTGTGAAGTATATGGTTAAACACCGTTCAATAAACGAAATGACCTATCAAACAAACCCGGAAATAGAGCAAACTTTCGAGCGGTTGAAAAGTAAATTTTCAAATACCGACTCGGAGGAATCATCTACTGGAGATTGATCAAGTGTTAGTTCTAATTCTAGCGAGTCCGAAGAGCCAATAACTATGGCTCTTTAAACAAGAACGTTGAGGGAGCTCACGGCACCTAATCTAAACCAACAACCCTTATGTATCACCTTCCTAACTCTTGATGCGGGTGCTACATTTGAGTTGAAATCCGGGCTCATACATCTACTTCCATCCTTCCACGGGCTAAGAGGAGAGGATCCAACAAAACATCTCTCGGAGTTCCACATCGTTTGCACAAGCATGTGCCCGAATGGTGTGACCGAGGAACAAATAGAGTTGAGGGCTTTTG